ACACACACACGCACATATACATGCAACACACACAACCTTGTGCTTCTTGACGTTAAGCGGTTAAAAATTGAGTAAAAATGCACCTGTATTTTGAATACAGACACATGTCGGTGCACGGATTTCGAAATGGTCCGGTAACGCATCCGGATAATTCCATAATTGTTTGGATGTGTGACACAGCCAGAACTGATTCAAACGAAAAATTTGTTGGCAGTTGCTCAATCGGAATTTTCAAGCCTAAAACAAACGTTTAATTAATGAATAGACCGAAGTTCAGCTCAATAAAATCTTGATTAGCGATGTGTCATATTTTCCTCTACGATGTTAACCCCGTCATCACCCAATTGTAAAGTACGACTGCAGCACCCCCGGCAATTCTGAAGTGCGACGAAGTCATCGGAACGCTGCAAGCCAATAAAGTTGTATTCTTTTTGAGTTTTTAAACCGCACGAAAAATATTATTTTGGTGCTGCAGTTTCAACGACATGATTTAGCTGGAACAAATTTAATTGCTTAATTCCTTATTGTACAGTAAGACTGAAAAAATGACGAAAAAGTTATCTTTTTTTCTCAACGAAGATTTGTTCAAATCAAGCTTAGTATAAATCCCGGGAATGCAAATTCGTATAAAACGGTCTGGAACAGCCGGTAGTTGCATCGCAACTCAGTACTGTTAATCCAAGCTATTTTGGCAATCTCGGCAATATGTAATCCATACTGTAATTAAACATGCAATAGTTGAAAAAAGGTGCCCGATCCGCTAAGTTATGTACACCCATTTCAAAAATACGATTAGCTCACAGCTTCGGTCTGCACATTAACTCCGAGTCCAAATTTGAGATGACTGCATTTTACCTTCACGTACGTGCTGCTGGACGAGTAACAGGCTCTGTTCGTAAATCTCTCGTGCCTTCGTTAGTGCAGCATTTTGTGGCACGCTAAAATGAAATCGCTTCATCAACTCCCAGGGTGACAATTCGTTTTCATTGAACGACAACTTCGACTGATTGATTGCTCTGGAAAAAAACAGACTTCAGCATCAGTGTTTGACAGAAAAGTCACTGATTTTTTTTATTATCTGCCCGGTGATGTAATATTTTTCTGAAATAGTGTTAAATACTGTTTGCAGGTCTTCCTTGTACAAATTAAGCCAACAACAAGAATCCATGAAGAGAAAGCTCTGCTGAAAAGAAATGAAAAAACAGTAAATTTTTTTGAAAAGTACATTGACGAAGTTTTACAACGACGTAGTAGCATATATTAAAAGCATGAAATGCAGTAAATGAAAATATCAAGAATTCTAATTTCGAGGAAAACAAAAATCAGGCATGTGCTCCACAAAAAAAGGAAAGAAACAGATGCTTTACACTAAACCCTTCCCCTCCACACTAGTCTGAGAATTAAGAAAAACTGAATAAAACACCAGGATTTTCAGGAAAGTCGATGAGGTAATCCTATGTTGGTATTGTTAGACGCCGCCATGCCAAGTCCTTCGATCCAGAGCTGTACAAGTATTCACTGCCCTGCTGAGCACTTGCATGTCGCCTCTTCGCAAGTCTTACAAGTGGTCAGTTACTAAGAGAGCTTGAGTTGTTTTAGTTATTTGTTCTAAATTATAAAAAAAAGAAAACAGCTGGCCAAACAGATATTAA